AGACACGTGGCCGATCCCAGCCCACTAGGAGCCGGTGCGGGGAGCGCGTGAGGTCGGGGTAGAATCCCGGTGAAGACAATGCGGGGGCAGAGAGAGGGCTAGGATGTTGGAAAACAGTCCTGAGAGGATGGGGTGCGGGCCGTGCAGGTTCTGCGGGCAGCAGGGGGTGGTGCCTTTGCCCATTCCCCCCCCCCGCCCCACGGGGGCGCCAGTGAGACAGGTCTGAAGTCGGGTTCTCGGGAACGCTGGCTGAAGCTGGCTAAGTTATCATCCCTCTGGAGCCCCAGTTTCCCCCCAAGCCAGGCCCAGCGAGCGGCATGGGAACTCTGCAGAGAGCAGCGGGACCGTGTGCCGTGGGCACAGCCGGGGACCTGACCTCCGTCTGGGGGGTGGGCCACAGCCCCCAGCTCACCCACAGCTCCTCGAGGGGACGGCATCTGTGATGGAACCACTCTGAACCCGGGGGCAGAGGGGCTCCCTGGCCAGATGGTGGGTGGGTTCTTACAAATGTTCTAAAAGGGCTGAGCCACCAGGCCCCTCACTGGCCTCGTATCTGCAAGTTCCTCTCTCCCTTTCGAATCAAGGCACGGTCGCCACCCGTCCTGGCCCAGCCCTGGAAGGTGCTCTGAAGGGTCACCTCAGTTCTGGGAGCTGGAGTGAGTGGGAGAGGGCTCTGTGCCCCACGAGCCCCAACCTGGGCCTGCGAGGCAGGAGGGGCAAGTGGTGCCTTGAAAGGCCCTGGCTCACCAGGCCCCGTGCTGCCTGATGGGATTCTGGCAGCGGAGCTAAATGAACCCTGGGGCTGGTCCCCAAGGGCATGTGTTTGTGGTCCAGGTGCACACTGTTTCCATAGGGCCAACCGGCACCCCACTTCCTCCAGGACACATGTGAGGAAGGGCCACGTAGGCCGAGTGGGCTTCTGTCCCCACAGCCACCTGGCTCCTGAGAGACAGAACACCTCCTACCACTCGGGCCACAGCCTCCTCCTGTTAAGAACCTTCAGAAGGACATCGGGGCGTCCCTGGGGCCCGGCTGCCCTGGGGTCTATCACAGCTGGACAGGGTTAAATCTAATATCTCATCTTAGGCACTTCAGCTGCTCCCGTGGCTCTCAGAATAAGGTGCAGGCTTCACGCTCCAGCCTCTAGCCCAACGCAGCATCCTGGCCACAGCCCCCGCCGCTGCAGCATGGGTCCAGCTCTCCCAAGGTCAGCTGACCTGGCGGGTCCCGGGCTCCTCACAGAGAGGGCTGAGCCTTAGCAAAGTGCTTACTAAAAAAGAAGGGAATTAGAGCTTCCCTGGTGGCGCAGTGGTTGAGAGTCCGCCTGCCGATGCAGGGGATGTGGGTTCGTGCCCCGGTCCGGGAAGATCCCGCATGCCGCGGAGCGGCTGGGACCGTGAGCCATGGCCGCTGGGCCTGCGCGTCCGGAGCCTGTGCTCCGCAACGGGAGAGGCCACAACAGCGAGAGGCCCGCGTACCGCAAAAAAAATTTAAAAAAGCGAATTAATGTGGACTTTTCAAAAAGCCACATATATTTGATGCAAAGGTATGTCCTTTATTCTGTTACGTCTACCTTCCTTCTTTATCGTTGGCTCCTTCCTATTTCAGTGAGATGAGGATGGTGGACAGAATTTACGAATACTCCTAACTGATAAAATAAAACATAAGCAGTCCTTTGTTGGTCCCTCCAACCTTTTTTTCCTCTGAAAAGGTCTCGGCTGTAAAATCCCAGGATCTGAGAATCACTGACCTACTGCTGGGAGCCAGGGCAAGGCCCTGAGGCTCCCGCCAGGAGCACAGGAAGCAAGGGGAGCTCAACAGCCCAGAGATCAAGACAACTAATATTTTAACGAATACTGTAAAAACTCAAATTTAACGCAGAGAAAGCAATACGGACAAAAAATTCTAAAATTTTAAACAAACAAAGACACGACCAGTTCTAGGGATGCTCCAGCAAGGCTCAGCAGGGCCCACCTTCCCAGTCGCCCACGACAGAGGGGGGCACTTCAGGGTCTGAGATCCCCTGGGGAGGAAGGGCCACAGCCACCTAGGAATTCCCTTTGGGGCCTCACGACCCTGACGTTCTGGGAGTCCAACGTCAGCTCAGTCTCTGCACGTGACCCCAGGCCCCCGCACGGCGTCCTCAACGGAGGCTGTCCGGAGGCTCCAGGCGGCTACGTGAGTGGCCCCCACGCTGCCCCCGGGCTCGTTCCTCTGCCTCCGTAGCCAGCTCGTCATGTTTATTTTTCTTTCCTGAATTCTCAGGAGGGCAAGCAAGTGGAGGCCAAGACAGACGCCAAGAAGGGAGAGGAAAGGGGCAGAGATGCCAGCAAAAAGCCCCCGGGCCCCAGACGGGACTCAGGCCTGGGCAAGGAGCCAAAGAGGGGCGGTTTGAAGAAAAGCTTCTCAAGAGACAAGGACGAAGCTGAGTGCAAAGGCTCAGAGAGGCCCGAGGAAGAGAAGCTCGTCAGGGGCCTCGAGAAGGGCCGGGTCAGGGCCGCGGTGGACAAGAAGGAGGCCGGGAGGGAGGGGCGGGCGCAGGAGGGGACGGCAGCCCCCAGGAAGGACGAGGAGCGGCGGGGCAGTGCGAGCGGAGACAAGGGGAAGAAGGGAGAGGGGAGGAAGGAAGCGAGCCAGAGAGGGGGGCCCGAGAAGGCGAAGGGGCAGGGGAAGGGCACGGACGCCCGGCCGGAGGGCCACGAGGTGGAGAGAGGGAGCAGGGACGGGGGTGCCCGGCCGGAGGACGAGAGGGCCAGAAAGGAGGAGCCCCGCCGTGCAGAGGCCCCCCGCGAAGAGCCCGAGCGCCCAGCGCCAGAGAGATCAGCCCCTGGAGCCCCCGCCGACGGGCCCGCCCAGGCTGAGGAGGAGGCGGCCCCCAGCGTCTTTGACGAGCCCCTGGAGCGGGTGAAGAGCAACGACCCGGAGGTGACCGAGCTCAACGTGAACAACTCGGACTGCATCACCACCGAGATCCTGGTGCGCTTCGCAGAGGCGCTGGAGTTCAACACGGCCGTCAAGGTCTTCGCCTTGGCCAACACGCGGGCGGATGACCACGTGGCGTTCGCCATCGCCGTCATGCTGAGGGCCAACAAGACCATCACCAGCCTGAACCTGGACTCCAACCGCATCACCGGCAAGGGCATCCTGGCCATCTTCCGGGCCCTCCTGCAGAACAGCTCGCTGACCGAGCTCCGCTTCCACAATCAGCGCCACATCTGTGGCGGCAAGACCGAGATGGAGATGGCCAAGCTGCTCAAGGAGAACACCACGCTGCTCAAGCTGGGCTACCACTTCGAGCTGGCCGGGCCCCGCATGACCGTCACCAACCTGCTCAGCCGCAACATGGACCGGCAGCGGCAGAAGCGGCTGCAGGAGCGCCGGCAGGCGCGGGAGCCCGGCGGGGCCGAGGCGCTGCTGGACGTGCCCCGGGCCGGGGCCCCCGCCCGGGACTCCCCCAGACCCTCCCCGCAGCCGTCCCCCAGGGCCGCTCCCAGGACCTCGCCGGGGAAAGGGGGCGCCCCGGCCGCGCCCCCGCCGCCGCCGCCGCCCCTGGCCCCCCCGCTCCTCATGGAGACACTGAAGAACTCGCTCTCGCCGGCCACCCAGCGGAAGATGGGCGACAAGGTCCTCCCCGCCCAGGAGAACTCCCGGGACCAGCTGCTGGCCGCCATCCGCTCCAGCAACGTCAAGCAGCTCAAGAAGGTGAGTGGGTGCGCTCAGCCGCAGCGCCGCGCGGGGCTGGGAGGGGCTGGCTCACCCCAGCGCCCTCTGCCCCAGGCTGGCCGGCCCGCCTCGCCCGCGAGGGAGTCAGGCCTTCCTCTAGGGGCCCCCTTTAGCCCCTCACCCTGCAGTGAGACCCGTTTCTCCCAGAAACGGAGGAGCTTCAGACCCTCCCTCCCTCCCCCCATTGCCCAAACCCAGATGGTCTCTGTTTTCCTAATTCCCTCTCAGGACCAGCCAAGTCCTACAGGTCAGTTTAGCCCAAAGGTCTTTGGGAAGCACTCCGTCCCTGGAGACCCTGCTTCTCTAAGGCTCGGCACCCCTGGGTGGTAGAGTCTCGGTCCTCTGCCTGGCTGACCCCACCCCCTACACGGTCACTCCTGAGACGCTGCACAACCTCGACTGTAACTCCAGGGTCATTCGATGGCATCCGGTTTTCACAGAAAAGGGGAAGGGCTCCCTCCGTCCACACTTCATCTCTTTGTGAGCCCAGCAGGAAAGGAAGTGAGAGGGATTCCAGAGGCCCCCGCTGGGTTCCCTCCTCTAAACCGGCTCTGCTCTGCCCGGACAGGTGGAGGTGCCCAAGCTGCTGCAGTAGGACGGGGCTGCAGGCGCCATCCGCGACGCCACGCCTGCCCAGGCCCCGCTTCCCAGGGCCGCACAGACCCCGCCCGCCACGCCGGCTGACCTGCCCTGGACGTCCCTGCCCTGCCATGGGAGAGCTGGAGGCCTGGGCCAGCTCCGGGAAGGATGCCTTCTCTCCTTGCTTTCCTTTTCTTGTCTCTGAGGCTCTCCACAAATGTCTCATACCTGGAGCTGAGGTTTCCGGACAAGAAGAGTCCTTTCAGCACGTGACCGAGAAGACAGCACGCCTGGGGCCCATGCGGCTGGCAAGCTGCCAAAGTCCTAGGATCCAGGAACAACGTCTCCCAGGGACCACGTGGCCCGCCCGGCCCCACTGCCCCGCTAGGGCCAGGATTCAGGCCTCTGAGGAGCCCTTGGGGCAAGGCCGCTGGGCTGCTGGCTCTCTGTGTGGGGCAAGCCTGGAAGACTGGAGGGCCAAGGGCCCAGGGAAGAGGAAGGAGGGGCCGAGGACACCCCCAAGCCCCTCCCAGCTAATCAGAGGACATGGCAGGGGCAGCGAGCCTGGGGGGAAGTGGGCTCCAGACATGAGAAGAGGACAGACAGCAGCTGGACCTGAAGGTTTGATGCCAAAGCAGACATTTCCTCACACCCACCTGCTGCTGTATAAATAGCTGTGTATCTGTTTTTCCATAAGATTTTGATAATATATACGAGCCTTTAGCTGTGCTTGGCTGTGCTCACCTCTGTGCTGTCCCGAGGGTCCCGATACTCACCTGGGCTCCCTGGAGGGCTCCAGAAACTCAGGTTCCCTGCCATGCCTCCCCAGGTTGCCACACACAAGCTCCCATCCGCAGAAAGCAGTGTGAGGGAGACTCAGACAGAGCGGAGGGCTCCCGCTGACCCGGCTGTCCAGGCCCAGGGGTCACTGGGCAGAGCCGCCGTCGGTGCGGCAGGCAGAGTGCAGCGCAGGGGGCGCTGGGACGTGACTACGTTAGGCGTGTTCTGGATGCTCCTTCGCGACTCTTCCTAACCGCGGGCTCCAGCCATCTCCTCCCGGCAGCCCCAGGCCACTGGGGAGCAGTGCCCGCATCGCTGTGCCCCCTCTGCCCCACGCCCTCCATCCCCGATATAGCAAAGGCATCTCTCTGGTTTGATCGGCTAAAGGAGCTGCACCCCTGTCGCTGTGGAACTGCCACCTGGGTGTGGGTCAGATGTAGGCTTTCTTGCAGCTTGCCGTCTGCAGGGCGGAGGTGGGGCGTCCCTGCGCCGAACCGGGACCCCTGAGCTAGGTCTGGCCAGAAACAGAGCGCAGCCTGGTCCCGGAAGCAGAGAGCTCAGATCCCAGGGCGCACCCTGCCCCCTCCCCCCAGCCACGCGCCTGTCCCCCAGAAACCCAACCAAGACCGGGCCGGAGGGGGACACACCGCCGCCACCAAGCTAAGCGCAGCAAGTCTGCGGGCCGAGCCCGCAGCTCTGTGAGCCGGACCGACGTCACCTCCGCGTCGCAGAGCAAAGCCTGGCGCAGAGAGTGTGACACGGGCCGCGACCACTCAGCTCATCAGGATCCCGAGCTCCGCCCTGAGCTGCTCCGGGTGACTCCCCCTCCCGGCAACGACAAGGGCAGGTGAAAGGGCTCAGGTGGCCTAAGCGACCCCGCCCGCCAGGGTCCAGATCCTAGAGCTCCAGCTGGACCTGTCGCTTTAGGGCGTGACACACTTAACTCAAGATCGGCCGGCAGAAAACCAGCTTCTGCTGTTCCTGGGCCGCCAGGGGCACCGCCCTCCCCTCCCCCTCCCCCCTCTCCGCTCCGCTGTAGCCCCCGCAGGCCGATGACGTCATCCCCTCCGAGCCTGGGGTGGGGGCGCAGCGCCACCTGGCGGACACCGCGGCCCCGGGCCTTCTGCCGCGCAGCGTTCCGAGCCCGGAGGGTGGACAGCTGGACCTGG